CTATCTCACAGACACGGACGCCTTGTCCTGCTCCATAGCCATTTTATGTATGTCTATTATGTCTCTCTTCTAACCTACAAGTCAGGGGGAAGCAGAGCTTATCTCCTAATGCCTCAGTTTCTGGTGCTGAGTCCAGGGCAAAGTTCACCATTTAAGTTACAGTGAATAGTTGCTGGCTGGCAAACTAAAACAGACTAGAGCAGAAAGCAACTCCACATAAGTATGATAAAATTTTTAAAAATTACTTGTAGTTATCAGCCTTCAATGCTGATGAGCACTGAAATTCACTGCAGCAGTAGCCATAATTGTCATGCGTTTAGTCATGAATTTTAGGTTAAATCTGTGTAATGCTTAATCTTCACGGCCAACTTGACTGGATTAAGAAACACCTACAGCATTAGTGGGGAGCACCTTTGGATGTGTGTGAAGCCGTTTCCAGAGAGGATTAGAAGAGGAAGAGGTCTGCCCTGAATGCTGGTGGCACCATCCCACGCTCTAGTGTGCTGGACTGAAAATCAGAAAAGAGGGAGAAAGCCTGAGGAGCCCGCTGAATCTTTGTCTGTGGAGATGTGAAGAGTCCCAGCCACATGTTCCCACTGCCATGAGCTCTGTCATACTTTTCTAACCATCGTGGCCTGCATTTTCTGGAACCATGAGGTGAATCCTCCTTCCCTTAAGTTGCTTCTGTGAGGCCTTTGGTTGCACAACGAGGAAGATAACTGAAACATCTTAACATCTCTTTTCTACTAAATTCTGTTCACTGTATTAAATCAAAGTGACATGCTAGCCCACCCAAATCTTTTGTGTTTGCCTTTACATCTTTTGAAGGGTCAATATCTAGAATTTATAAGAAACTGAAAAACTGGATAGCAAAAAATAATGACGAAACAATATGGTTTAAAATGGAGATGCTGTCTCAAGGAAGTCCTATCTCAAGGGGAACAGATGGAGCAGGGCATCCTCTTCTGTCCTCCTTGCCTATGCATGGGCATGTGCACTGCACATACATGCACATGCTTACACCATACACACGTACCCCCATAGACTTACACAGTGGGAGATAGAGACATTTCTCAAAAGAAGGCATGCAAACACCAATAGATACATGATAAGGTACTCAACATCATTAGTCACTAGGAAAATGTAACTTAAAGCCACAATAAGATACTACCTCATTCTATTTAGTGTGGCTATTATAAAAAACACAGAAGAAAACAAGTAATAATGTGGATACAGAGAAAAAGAAGTGCTCTCCAGGTGGGAATGTAAATTAGTACAGCTATTATGAAACACAATGTGGAGTTCCTCAGAAAATTAAAAAATAGAACTATTCTATGACCCAGCAATCCCACCAATAAGCACAAAACCAGAGAAAAATCAGTTCAAAGAGACATCTGCATTCCCATGTTTATTGCAACAGTATTCCTAATAACCAAGAAATGGAGTCAAGCAGAGCATCCATCAACTGACGTAATGTATGACACTTACAGACATGAAATACGACTCAGTCTTAAAGGGATGGAGTTCTGCCATACAACATCGTGGACAGAAGTGGAAGTGAGACTAAGCCATGCACAGAAAGACAAACACCACAGGATTTCACACAAATGTGGAATTCAGAAGATTCCCTCGGGGAAGTAGTGAAGAGCCCACTCGTGCTTACCAGAGGAAGGGAGGGGACTAGGAAAGTCCAGGAGAGATGGTGAAGAGAGGGAGAAACAAGTTCTATTCCGTGGCAGGATGACTGACCATAATGACAATCACTGTGTGGTGAGAACTGTAATTATTCCCCACAGAGAAATGGGAACATTTTGAGAGAGACATGCTTATCCTGATTTGAACATTATACAATGTATATATATATATATATATATATATATGTATAT